CAACTACGTGGCCGATCCTATGAGCGGTATTACCGGCTCCGCTCGGCGTAAAACAAAATTGTTGATAATTATTGACATGAGTGGAGTTTTGAGTTCGAATTGGTCTCAAATTACGCGTGAAAGTGCCACGAATCGAATAACCACAGTTTAATATGAGGATTCAGCGTTTGAAACTGTCGAAAACCTTAATTACAAGTCCACAAATTTTGCACTGTAAAGACCTCAAAACTTCGTTACGTGTTTTTTCATATTTAAAGTGGTAAATAAAATGAAATTTTTCCGACAATCACATCCTATCATTAAATTCTTCATGATCAGGAACAGAAAGAAATTTTCAAGTTGATGGTTGTGGAAAAAATCGGGTGAGCGGTATTACCCATTGAGCGGTACAGGCACACCCTCCCCTACTCGGCAACTAAACCAATCCCATGGAGATAGCTCGGACCTCTCTGTCTAACTAGTGTGCACGCAATGCGTCAGAGATTCTCTCTCGGCGCGAGTAAAGATTCACGCTGAAATGGCGCGAGTGCTGACGGAGTAATGATGGGGTCCGGTTTATCACAGAGTTTCGAAAATGTTGGTATTTTTATTTTTAAAAAAACAAGTTTTCAACGATTACTTAAAAAACATCACCGTAACGGATGTAATTATGGCTAAAAAATTGATATCAATGGCCTCTCCATTCTGTCAGAATATGAATGAATCGCATCATTATTGTTGCGTTACAGTATATTGTTTGACAAACTTTTTCAAAGATCGTTTTTTTCAATTATCCCTGTCCGACAAAACGAATCCCATACTGAGAGAAAAAGGACAGAATTCTCAAACAAGTCTTCCTTGTGCCAAGAAATAGTGTTTTGAAAATTATCAAAAAAGGATTTTTTGGTGCGAAACATGGAGAGAGTACGCCGAGATGAAAAATTTGCCTCGCAAAAATAGATTTAGTAGTTCAAAAAAAATTGCATTCTTTGTACACGCTAGAAGTGAAATTTCCAGCACTACTCCTTCGTTATTCGATACTCCCATATATTTTGCACCCGAAAAATGTTTGTTTTATGCGAAACAAGGGATAGTAGTTTTTCGTTTCGGCTAGCTAATAATCATAGACAAGAAATGAACCCTTAAATGAAACAATAATAATGATATGATAGCAATCTTGTAACTCAGGGACAAAATATTTATTGATAAATTTTCCTCTATATGAGATACTTTCATCCTGAAGAGGCACCGTCTCGTGTGAATTATCCGCATCTTGAGCCAAATATTTCATTATTGTCGAACGCAGAGACTTTCAAATTCGAACCAAACAAGTTCTTTTTTGGCAATTTTCAACTAACGATTTTCTTGGCCCCAACAAAACATGTTTGAGAACGTGTTTGTTTTTCTCTCGGTGTAGTATGAGGTTAGAAATAAAATTTACACCGCCCATAAATTTTTTTAAGCCGAATGGCTTTGGAGAAATTCTCCTAGCACGTCAGGTGTTGGAAAAATGAAATATTAAAGTTGTGAAATCGGTTGAAAATGACATTTCTCAAGAAATGAAAACTAAACAAATTTCAGGTGGCATTGAATGGGAAAAAATAGTGGAATACAGTTGAGAAATCATTTTAGCCGATCGGATCAATCTTCTTCAATTCCGATGTATAAATTTGCTGACAAAAAATTCTGAAATTGACTCTGCATGTAATTTTAATCTCCCAAAATGAGCACTGTAGCAACATGATTATTTTCACAGTGCTTTAGACCAGGGATTTAAAAAAATGACATGACACATCAGTGACAGTCATGTGACACGGCCAACCACGACAATTTATTGTCACATGACACAAACGTGACTGTTTTACCCTGCGACCGTCACACCCCATCTAATTAGTGGCACCCCAGGTGATAGTAACTAGTTCGAAAATTCCCCATGATTACCTCCATGGATGGACAATCACAAAGCGTCAACATGCATGTCAGTCGTATTTCAGTTTAAAAAAGAAAAAAAAACAGTACTGAGTTTATTGACTAAGTGTCGCTTTTCTCACTGTAAATGGTCGAACAGTTGAGATGAATGAATAAAATGAATGATTTCACACCAATTTTTCATCACAATTTTTGACATGATATTCATCTGAAAATTACTCACAATTTTGAAGCCGGATATTCTACGGAAATTTTCAACGGAAAAATTGACTCCACATTCAACATTCTCTGCCTGAAAGTTTCAGGCGATGGCTGCGTTGGCAAGTAAACTCTTGTCGAACAACCAGTGTAAGTTGAAAATTTGTGACAGGATTTAACAGAAAAATTTGTGACGTTCACATTACATCTAACTAGTTAATTATCATATGTGAGTCGACAGTGTGACCCAAATTATGGCATGAAAAACCGTGACGTCACATGACGGCCATATGACCGTCATATTTTTGTGACCTGACAGATTTCAAAACGTGACGTCACTTCGCATCCCTGCTTTAGACTATAGAAATTAACACTGAGGAGAATTTTTAATTATTTTCTCAAGCCCGGACATACGAAGAGAAATGTTCAGTAAAAATTACGGAACTCACAATTCACTCACCGATTACGGAATCGACTCAGAAAATTTGATTGACGGTATCGTAATTTTTCACAGGAGATACATATAAAAATTACGGAACGCTCTGGGATAATTCCGTGACAGTTCCGGAAAATTTCCTATACCCACATTTCGCTCCGGAATTACGGAAAAGATACGTAATTTTTATTGAATATTTCTCTCCATGCACAGGCGTCAGTGCTAGACTCTGGAAAGTAAAATTGCCTACTGTGGCACTATCATTCTCAAACTGATGCAGAAAACGTGAGGTATTTCTGTAGTATCATAAGGTCTTACTCGACAAATATGGTGAGGATTTAAAAAAACCTCCAACATAGTAGTTTTATCTCAGTTTCAAGTTTATCCAATTTTCTGTGCCTTTGAAATGGTCCAGAAATCCTGCGGTAGGCGGAAAAAATAGCCCACACACCCAGAACATTCTAAAACTCACCCAACTTAAGAATTTCCCGTGGTCTATTTTTTCCGGGATTCAAATCCTGCAGACTTTCCACATCGCGATCTGTGGAGGAAGAAGAGTGCCCATGACTTCTGCGGACAATTGATCAAAGATCCTCCTCCAAGTTGATTTGCATAACCTACAGCATTGTGAAAATAACCATGTGGCCACAAGGTTCATGTCTAGGGGTAAGAATTATATACAGAGCCACCTTCCGATTGTTCATTTAACCAACAGCTAGATGGACCAAATTTATGAATTTCAGAATTTTCGAATTTTTGAAGCAGGTTGATTCAATCGGCTAAAATGATATCTTAACTGTATTCCACAATTTTTTCCAATTCAGTGTCACCTGAAATTTATTTAGTTCTCATTTTTTAAAAAATGTCATTTTCAACCGATTCCACAATTTTAACATTTTATTTCTCCAAAATTTAACACTCTAGAGGAATTTTCCAAAAATGAATGGACGGTATGAATTTCATTCCTAGCGTTAAACTCGGCCTTAATTGTTGGACAATTTTACTGGAACAAAGGAGTCATTATTGAACCTTGTTTCACCGAGAGCTGGCCAAGAAAAGAGTCGTAACAAGTGGGATATTTGCACCAAGTAGAACAGAAATCGTGGGGGAAACGAATGGAAGGATTGTTTTCGAGAATGGGGCAAAATGAAACAGTCGAAAAATGACTGTTTGACGCAATTCAAGCAAAAAAATTTTTTTTTGTAAATTTTTTTTTTATCAACTTTTTTTATTATTAGGAGTATGTACTGATGAAAATAATAATTTTCTATTCGTCTCATAATTCAATTGATTAGATTAGGCCGATTACCCTTTTCTTTTTTCATTCGATTGAAATTCAGCATCACATTTTCCTTTTCCCCTTTTGGGTCCTCCCTGAGCCCTCCTCTGAACTTTGGATTTTCCTGTTTCATTTTATTTTCAATTAATCCATTGACAAAATCTTCTCCCGTCAAAACTTGTCAATAATTTTTCATTCCACTGAATAGAAAACTATTATTCTCATTAGTACTCTCAAGAATAAAATAAGGTAATAAACAAAAGTTAGTAAAAAAAAAAATTAACAAAAAAAATTTTTTTTTGCTTGAATTGCGTCAAACAGTCATTTGTCAAGTGTTTCATTTTGCCCCGCTCTCCCCTATGGGAATGTAAGGTCTGAAAAGTAGGAATGTACCAATTCACAATTACTAATTCAAAACGTGTGCGTATGTATGCATTGACGTGTGTTTTCGAGTTTTTTTTTGGAAATTCCGTTTTCAACAAAAATCCCTATTATGACAGGGAATGATCTAATACAATCATTTACTTGCTTTACATGCATTTTGCGAATAACTTCAAACGTCTGTAATAATAATAATAATAATAATAATAATAATAATAATAATAATAATAATAATAATAATAATAATAATAATAATAATAATTTCCTCCCTTTGGATCGGGACGTTGAAAAGTTGAAAGAACATATTGAGACAACTTGGCATTTAATTTTTTTCCTCTTAATTTTTTAATGTTTCGATCCGCTCAGCGAGATAGACAACAAAACTCGTACACGGAAATAAAACTCGTGCCATGGGAGAGCACTGCACTTTCTATTCGTCATTATACTCGCGAGGCCGTTTTTGCTCGGGTCTGGTAAAATTTCTTTGAAACGTTGGTTTACCGATGGTGGAATTACACTGGTACATGGATCGAGCAAATCGAGATGCGAGGCGCAATAAAAGGCTAAAGACGTGGACTAGAGTAGATAGGCGGTGTGAGGTGGAGGGAATAGAGAGGAGGGGCATTAAATTGCCAGTTTCTATGATCGGTTAGAGGTTTCACGATGAGGGAAATATAACCGAGTTGGTGAGCGTCAGAGGCGATGAAGTTTTGAGCAAGAGAAAGAAGATAAAAGAAATAAAGTGTGTGTCAGTGGGTCACTGCTCTATACTGAACGTCTTGGATTTTCTTGTTACAGGGACGCAGTGCCGAAGCAGTGTTGTGGCCTGGGCTCACCACCAGTACGCTGGTCAATCCTCGGCGTTGGTATTGTCGGGCTAGTTTGTGCAGCTGCTGGAGCTCTACTTGGTGCCCTCAGGGCAACCGGTCGTGACCACATCGCCGTATCGCTTCTCATGATTGGTAATAAACCCTTCTTCTCTTTCTTTTTTTTCCGCTTTAAAAGTTCATCATTCCAGAATCTCCACTACAACTGTTTTCTTGATACAATTGATGGGATTAGATTGATAGGACTGTTTGTATCCTGTTGTTTATTGACAGAACAGAACTCAACGAAGATAATGGTGAAATCACGCGTAATTTCATTAGTGAAGCCAGTCACTAACAGCTGCGTTTGTTAATTGCGTTGTTACTCGTGCGTATGGTATCAATTGTTTGCAAAGCAGATTGAGAAACACTACACCTGTAGGATCCCCCCCCCCACAATTAGCTGCAATTCTATAATTAAACGAATAACGTTTATGAAGGCCTCAATTAAAATTGTGAGCTGTTTGAAAAATGCACTACATTGTTTGTGCTATTCACAAAACAAATTGCAAAATTCAATCCTACAAACTTCGTAAAACCTAATCAATTTCCAGGATCACTACCGGGGTATTCAACTCGATTCCCAGTGTCCCTCTCGCTTCGTGATTGGCAATATTTTTCCTTTTGAATCTCATCAGCTCACGAAAATCTTATTCGCAGGCAATTGCTCACTTCTCTCCGTGTAATGCCTGTCATACATAATGATTCATGCTCGCCGAGTTTTGAAATTGATCCAACCGAGTTCGGTAACACCTAGGGACTGTAGCCTTTATTGAACTACTTCAGGAACACATCGTAAATCTATTTTTGATATATGCATCTCTGGATGTATCACTGGTACAACTGAATCTCTCCCAATAGCTATGGTCTCCTATCCTTCTCTGTGACCTACTTGCCAACTGTCTTGCACAGTACTCATCATTGATGAGTACTCCCTTTTTTGGGCAAGTGCATGGCATTTAGCATTCTATTCAACGCAATATCCTCAGCAACGGCTCTTCATATAGACCTAGTGGACCTCGTAATACATGGCCTAAACAAATACACACTGCCAACCTTGTGCTACCTTGTGACATTATTAAAGCAGTTGGACAACTGGTGAAGCACAGTGGATTGCATAAATGAGAGGAAAAAATCCTAAAACATTATCAAAACAAAGAGTCATCAAGGCGTAATTCGAGCACGTACATAGACTGTGTTTCTCCAACCTTGCTACAATAAATTACTGATGCAAATTTTCCACGTCCAAGAACGTGGGAGCGTGACGCTGTACAACCGCCAGATACCTTGAACAAATTGTCATATTTTTGTCCCATAAAACGCGGGAAGAGATTATATTTACATGCATGGAGGCTCTTAACAAGGCTCGTTTACCGGTATCAATCATGCCTGGCAATTAAACGTTGTAACAATAAACTCGAGTTTAAAATCAGATAAAATACAATTGAGTTGGTTTAAATGTGTGGGCTACGATGCAGGCATGTGCGGCCCTGGTCCAGCGTTGGAGAGATACCAGGACCACCAAGTTTACTTTCTAACTGCAGAGGCATGTCTCTGATGGGAGAGTTCAATTATTATATACAACGAGGTTTATTAATTATTCTTGAATGGCTATTTGGAACGTTCATTCATTCACAATTATAAATAAGAATGTTCTGACCTGACCCTTGTCTTTGTCAAATCTATTCACTATTAATAAATGCCGATGGCTAAGGAACAGCAGAATTCATTTGGTGAAGTAGTATGGATACAGTCCAAACTATTTGCTGAGTGTATGCGAAAAAGTCGATGCACGGAGAAAACAAAATTACACTTTAGCTGAAGGAATTCTCGTTTTCCCTCCGCTTAAAAATTACATTATGAGGTTCGATTGGGACGATCCAAGGAATTAGAAGAGCACATAAATAATGAAGGAATTTCCAGATATTTAATTAAATGATTGTAATATGAATTAGTTCAGACAACGTTATACAAATTGTACAATATGACTTACTGTGTCTAACGTGCTCAACACTCCTTTAACAATTTCACTCAATTAGATGAATTTTGGTTCACAATATAATTGTTGGTAATTTAAACGCGATATACACGGAGAGAAATATTCAATAAAAATTACGCATATTTCCCGTAATTCCGGGGCGAAATCTGGTTGTAGGAAATTTTACGGAACTGTCATGGAATTTTTTCAGAGCGTTCCGTAATTTTTATCTGAATCTCCTGTGAAAAATTACGATACTGTCACTTAAATTGTCTGAGTCAATTCCGTAATCGGTAAGCGAATCCACTTTTCAATAATTAATTATTGACTAAAATAGTATAAGCGATTGACAATTATTATAGCCTTTGTAAGAGCACGCACGAAAAAATTTAATAGAAAAACTTATCGAATTCGTTAGAAAATTCTATTGAATTTCTATTACACTTTTTATTAGTTTTTGGCTGATTCTATTCACCTGTTCAATAGAAAATATTCAATAGAAAAAGTCAACAGAATTGGATCTTTCTATATAACTTATTCTTTTCATATATTTTCTATAGAATTTGCTCGACTCAAATTTTCTAACTTTTTTCATTCATTTTTCTTTTCTTCTCAATAAAGAAAATCCAACGAAAAAACTTAGAAAATTTGAGCCGGGGAAATTCTATAGAAAATATCCCAATAGAATAAGTTATATAGAAAAATTGAATTCTATTGACTTTTTCTACCGAATAATTTCTATTGAACATTTCAATAGAATCGGCCAAAAACTAATAGAACAGTTGAATAGAAATTCAATAGAATTTTCTAACGAATTCGATAGGTTTTTCTATTACATTTTTTCGTCCAAGAGTGCCTTTATAGTGTACACTGAATGATACAATAGAGTATTTGACTCTATTTAGTACGACGAAAAGTGAGTTTTTGGTGTATTTCATGGTCATCGGCTCCTTTGACAAGGAGTGGTGGACATCGACAATGACGTGACAACCGAAATCATCTGATAGTACTCGTTTGGACAATTGCCGTTTTGTCTCTCTCATCACCATGGTGGTTGTTATCTTTGTCTCGCTTATCATCTTATAGTCGATCCGTGTATGAGTCGGTTACCTAAGATGAACTATTGTCTATTGGTGTCTATTCGTCAACTGCAAGTTAATATTATCAACTATGGGAATTCCGTATTCAATCGTATTTAACCCTAGATTGGTTACCCTATGAGGGAAACCCCGCCGGGCGTCGTTTTTCTTTAATTACAATTGACTGGCTAACCGGAAAAATTGAAAAAAATTTGACTTTGTCAATTGAAGTTATTAGATTATGGGGTTTAAAATAAGAAACACCTTTTGTCTATATGAACACTTTAATTGAAAAATCTCAAAGACTCTACACAGTCAAGAGGCACTTCACAGTATGAATATCTACAAGAGACTAAAGATAGTTGCTAGTGAGGCCCAGGGTTAATGTAGACCTAGGAGGGCAATATAATTTCCACCCCCTGAAGCAACGCTCGGTCTTTCCTTCTTGATCCCGCCTGGTCGCCAGGTGTACTTGCGGGAAAAACCCACATTTGGGAAAAACCCATCAGTAAAACTCCCGAAAGGACTTTTCCCCATTTTACAATCTCAAGGAGGACCCCATAGCAATATTAAGCAATAAACCTTTCCTTAACATAAAATAACTTTGGGAGAGTGAATCTTGGTCTCGGGGAAATCCCGAAAATCCAACACACCCCCTCAAAATTTAATCGAACTTATTAAATAAAAACTAAATCACCAAAAAAAAATTATACAGCTCTACTACTATAAATTTCTAAACTTCTGTACCTCTTGACTGTTTCCTGGGAACAAATACATATGGTTCAGCATTTGCTACTAAGGATTAGGGAAACCCAGTAAAACCTAATCAAACCATTAGACAATACATATATATATATATATATATATATATATATATATATATATATACAATTTCATTCCATATTCATTTTTCTTCTTAATTCTAAGAACTTTGGTCCTGGCAATGGCTTTGTGAACAAATCTGCTAACTGTTGTCCTGTAGAAACATATTCCAATTTAATTAAATTATTACTTATTTGTTCTCTTAAAAAATGATATTTAATGTCGATATGTGTTGTTCTTTTATGGCTGGTTGGATTATTGGCTATGCTGATACAGCCATTATTGTCCTCATAGATCACTATGGGATCATCAATTTTCAATTGAATGCTCTCTGCTAGAGATTTTAAACACAGGGCTTCTCTGACTGCCTCAAAAAGGGCCATGTACTCAGCTTCCGTAGATGAAGCTGCTACTGACAATTGCCTTTTTGTATTCCAGCAAATTGTACAGTTTTCAAATAGTTTGAATATATACCCTGTTGTACTTTTTCTGCCATTTTCATCACTACCCCAGTCTGAATCAGCATAACCAATCAGCACATTTACAAAATTATTTCTTCTATAAACTAATTTTAAATCTATTGTGCCTTTCAAATATCTAAGCACTCTTTTGAGGCATTTCCACAACTCATCATTATTTTGGTTCGTATATCTACTTAAGATATTTATCGATGCACTCAAATTGGGTCTAGTACATACCATCACATACATTAGGCACCCTATTAAACTTCTACATGGCGTATCATTTCTTTTGTCCGAGTTCAATGCTGAATAATCTAGTCGACTCTCGAGAGGAGCAGTTACCGC